ATTGCCACCAGGTACCACGTGAAATCAATTGTCACCAGTTACCACGTGAAATCAATTGTCACCAGTTACCACGTGAAATCAATTGTCACCAGTTACCAGGTGAAATCAATTGTCATCATTTACCACGTGAAATCAATTGTCACCAGTTACCACGTGAAATCAATTGTCACCAGTTACCAGGTGAAATCAATTGTCATCAGTTACCACGTGAAATCAATTGTCACCAGTTACCACGTGAAATCAATTGTCACCAGTTACCACGTGAAATCAATTGTCACCAGTTACCACGTGAAATCAATTGTCACCAGTTACCACGTGAAATCAATTGTCACCAGTTACCACGTGAAATCAATTGTCACCAGTTACCACGTGAAATAAATTGTCACCAGTTACCACGTGAAATCAATTGTCATCAGTTACCACGTGAAATCAATTGTCACCAGTTACCAGGTGAAATCAATTGTCATCAGTTACCACGTGAAATCAATTGTCACCAGTTACCACGTGAAATCAATTGTCACCAGTTACCACGTGAAATCAATTGTCACCAGTTACCACGTGAAATCAATTGTCATCAGTTACCACGTTCTGTGCAGCGCTGATAGGACCCTCCCTGTCAGAGAGGGGAGTGAATGTCGGCTGCGAACTTGCTGACCCCGTGCCCCTACTGGACATCTATGAAAAAGAGCTTCTTAGCTCATCGGATTCCTCCTGCGCTCTAAATAAAGATTCTGATGATTTGTGAAACATGAACAGGAGAGCAAAGGCGGGGGGGGAGGGGGGGGGGGGGCTCCGAGAGACGCAAACGGCTCCAGAGTTACGCATCCAACCGGTGGGCACGGGTTGGCCACGTACGGTGCGCAAAAAATTTCAACGTACGGTACACATAGAGGGCAAGGGAGGATCGGTGCTGCCATCACGCCTTGCGTGCCACGTAACCCTACCGTGCCTGGCGTGTCACGTGGCACTGCCATACACCGCCTATTGCTTGGCCCACCAACTCAGAGGAGTTATTTTCCAGTCTGAAAAGAACAACACCCACGCGTACTTTCTATGTGCGTAACGATTCGCCGCCACGCTCCTCCCCCCACCTCCCTCTCTCTCTCTCTCTCCTCCACCGTCAATTCGATGAATCGTCACGATTTCTTGAACGACGATTCGAGAATCGAATTTTCCAACGCCGGTGACACGCGTGTGTCAACGCGAACGCGCATTGCGCGCGACGTGAATCTACAAACAGTCACCTTGGGCGAGCGATTCAGTGCCAGGTACGGCGAGCTTAACGAATCGACGTTCATCTCCGATTGGCACGGTCGGCTGCGTACGGTGCGAAAGAAGTTCAACGTACATGCATGCTATCTGTCGCATTCATCGTTACACTTGTACACAGTTGCAGATGACGATGCATAAACAGAAATATTGATCAACACTGGAGGAATCCAGTGAGCCAAAAAGCTCTTCTTCACAGACGTCCAGTAGGGGCGGCTCATAAACGTTACAACAACAAACGAAAGAAACGCACGATCGGAGTGCAAAGTATAGGAAAGATAAGCAAATCACATAAAACATATACAATGTTTTATTCCACTAGGCTAAGCCCACTGACCTATTCGCTTATTTTCCAGAAGCGACCTGGCCACAAATGATAGCTCGGCGACGAGGCTTATCGCGTGGAAATTTATAGCAGCCAAAATACTCTAAATAATCTAAGGGCACTTCACGAATCTCAGAAGGGGATTGCGAAGTCTAAAATTGGGCGCCGTTTGCGCACGCGTGCGCCATACACCGATGCGTGCATTTGTCAATCCACTCCCGTGGATGAAGGGTTCGTCATCTGCACGGCGTGTCCGGTAATGGGGGGGGGGGGGGGGGGGGGGGGGGGGTGTTGTTTGATCATAAACCGCGTTTGTCGGCGTTCGTCGGCGAATGTTGCGGTCAGCGCCGGTTCAAATGTCACCTCGCCACTGATAATACCCCGTGGCCGGGAATCGAACTGAGGTCACAGGGTTCATAGTGCAGTGTGCTAACCACCGGGCCACCGCTCCACCCCCTAAAACTATTTACAAACACACACACAAAACTCAGCCGCAGCCTCTGAGGATACTAATAATTTGAGGGTAATTGCCATAAAAATACAATAAAGTCATGACAATACGATGACTTTACAGTTAATAATGCACTTAATAAATACGAGCATTACGCAATAATAGGAATAACAACGAGCGAATGAATCATCATTAATAACCGCAGACATATCCTGAGAAAACACACACATCGATTTTTTTTTCGTTCCGTTAAGTGGCGCTCAATATTGACCACGAGCCTCGACCCCCGTTAATCATCGACCAGCGCAGTCGCGCAGCGGTGACGCGGGGATTGATTGCCGCTTCCTTCAAAACCGAAAGTTATAAATTGGCAAACGACCGATCCGGCACTTTACTTAAACAAACAGAGCCGCGATCGTAATTCAATTATAGGAAGAAAGTGTCTTTGGCACGGAGGGAGTCCACTGACCCACGTTACGCACCTCACTAGCCTTGGCGGCTGTGGGCGAATATTATCATCAGATTTCCAAATAACTCGCGTGCTGAAGTGTGCATCGCGGCACAATTCAGGAGCTTCGTTGCAGAAGAGCGCATTTGACAAGTGTTTTTTTTTTTCTGCAGGCTATACACACATATATATACACATTATACGGTGATAACAAGAATAAAAAAAATTGACCAGCGTGGGGAGGCCGTGACTGTCACGGCGTGTGGAGGCCTTCATCCAACAGTGGATTGATTAAATGACGAATATAATATTAATAACAGTCCACATTATCAATGATAGTGAGATTACATATATATCTACTCTATTGTCGGCGTGTGTATATATCATAATAATTGTCAGCCCTCAGTCAATTGACCAAACCTTAACCACGCTGCTCAGTGTGGGTTAGTGACAAGGGGAGGAGGTGGGGTTGGAGCGGTTCAGACACCACTCGCCACTGATGTTCCTTGTGGGCGGGAATCGAACTTGGATTGCCGGGTCCGTAGCGCGGAGAGTTAACCACTGTGCCACGAACCCGGCGATCCGAGATTGATTCCCGCTCACATTCAACACCAGTGACGATTATCTGAACCCGTCGTAGGCCTCCCCTAGGTCGACTCAGCATCAAATAAGTACCTGGTGCGGTGCGTAAACATCGCCACCAGGGAGACAAAGGTCGCCGGGAGTGGTGTTGCCCACCTACCCCCTCGTGTGCCGTGCCGGCATGCATAAGTGCTACTCGCTACCAGCACTTGCCCTAACAGTCTGTCAAGGCTATACGGGGGATCTTTGCCTGTGTATAATATAGAGAACATGCATGCCCTCGCGGTACCAACTGTTTGTTTTCAGAGGCAGGACGCGTCTCTCCATTGCGTCACGATTCATGGGATCTCTTCGCGAGTCTTGGCCCCGGAGTAAGAGACGGATCCCCTCGGTGAGTACTCAGCCCTGCTGCGTCTCCCTCCCTCCTTTCCCCAGCTGGCTGCCACCCCTCCAAAACTAAACCACCACCACCCATCCACTCAAACCTCCGTCAAGCCAGCTAGCTACTCTCGCTCTAACATCACCTCGGACACTGCTCACCGACCCGGGGACATCCCAAAAAACCCACCCTGAGTCAATCTTTACAAGCAGTCTCAGTTTCATATGTATGGTACCGTCGAATCATCTTTAATATATTGTTTTATTCTATATTTAATATAAACCCAATACTCTATATGCACACAGACACACGCACGCATGTTGTTTCGTTAATTGCGGTTTTGCAAGCAATGCACTGCTTTGCCGCATTGTATTCAAGCAACTGCCAGAGGAAATCGTCACCATCCGAGTTAATAATCGCGGCCATGCACATTGTAAAGCGGTCTACAATTGAACTCGTCGTCAGTGACACAAACGAGCGTCAAATTTTGACTTCAAACTTTCGTGACTGCAGGAATTCATATTCTTTGGTTCTTTCGGCAAAATCACGTCGATAGAAAAATAAAAAAGAAAGTGAATAAAAAAATGTGTATTCTTTTTTTTCCTATCTACGTGACTTTACCAAAAGAACCAAAGAATACAAACGAGCGTATTGGGGGGGGGGTGGGGGGACACGCGCGCGCATTTCAGAGGAGCGAGTTGCACAATCTATGCTGAACTTCTTTCGCACCGCACGTGGCCAACGGCGCTAATCCACCTTTCTCTGTGGTAGGGACCTGCCGGCAACGCGAAACCCGGACCCCGAGCGCCGAAGGGACGCGTCTTTGACCGATTGAAACGCGATCATGAATAATTCACCAATGATGATGATGACGACGACGGTGATGTTGATGATGATGATGTCTGTGCATGTCTTTGTTGCAGTGCCGACCTTCGTGTAGGTGCTGCTCGCTAACAGCACTCGCCCCCAACAGTCCGATAGGCCTACACGGGTGACCTTTTTGTTTGTGTATCTAATAAATACACAAAGAAATAAATAATGATGATGCATGGTTATGTGCGTGTGTGCGCGTGTGTGTGTCTCGGCCATGCGTGCCAATGTCTTTGTTGTCTGTGTGTATGCGTGCGCCTCGGTACGTGTCTACGAATGTTTGTCGTGTACGCGTCTTCGGTGTGCGTGCGTGTCTGTGACTATGCGCACGTGTGTATGCGCGCCTCTATGCGTGCGTGTATCCGTGCGTATCTTCGCATGTGTGTGCGTGTCTGCATGTCTCGTTGTATCTGCGTGCGTGCGCGCGCGCGTGTGTGTATATCTGCGTGTCTTCGTTTGCGTGACGTCTTTGTACCTTCATGCATGTGTATCTGCGCATACATGCATACGTGTGCGTGCATGTGCATGCGCGTCTGCGCGCGTGTGTCTGCGCGCGTTGACATGTGTCTGCGTGTAAGCGAGTGTGTCTGTGTGTGTATCGATGCGTTTGTGTGTGTGTGTGTGTCAAGGGTGGGAGTGACCCCCGAAGTGGCGGTGTCGTGCAGGGCTCTCTCACCACCACAGGCCGATGATGTTGGTCGGGTAGAGGAGCAGGAAGAAGAGGGCAAGCGGCGCTCCGGGCAGCCGAGCCATGCTGCTCCAGCGACGAGGGCTCCCTCCTCCGCCCCGTGCTCTCTCTTCTCTCCCCGTGTCTCTCTCTCTGTCTCTCTCTCGCCTTCTCTTGCGTCTCGTCTCTCTAGCTGTGCCTTTACCGGCACCCACCCACAACTCCCCCCCCCCCGGTCGCTGTGTCGTTGTTGTTGTTGTTATTGTGAGTGTTGCTGCTTTCTTTTAACTTTTTTTGTTTGTTTTTGTTTGTCGTTTGCTTTAAAAAAAATCCGGTCACTCGCGCCGCGTGTCCGCGCGCGTTCGCGTCGGTGACCGCCGGCCCTTTGCAGGCGAACGTGGTTGCGACTCGAGAGTTCTCATGATTTGATTTCGTGATCCACCGGAATCTCCCCCCCCCCCCCCCGTGTCTTCCGAGAGTGTGCCTGTGCGTCTGTCGTGCACGCGTGTGTATGTATGTCCGTGTGTATTCGTGTGTCTTCGTGGTGCGTGAGACTGGCGCCTGCAAAAAAAAAGTTGTCGTCTTAGCCTACCAGCCCCTCGTGTGCGTTCGCTCGTTCGCTCCGCTCGTTCGCTCAGCTCCGCTCGCTCTCTCCGTGTCTCTCTGTCAGCACCGCTCGTCTCCCGACTGACCGGGCCACCCCGCCGACACGTCACGCACTGCCGCACGACCGACACCCACACACACCCACCACCACCACCACCGCACGCCCCGTGCACTGCTCAGGCGTAAAAACTCCGCGATATTTACGCAGCGAGCAAAACCGCAAAACTACACAACAGCTGTGGAGAGGAAGTCGGAAAGAAACAATCGCACTCGCAGACAGACAATCATCGCGCGCGCATGCACGTACGTGTGTGGGATACACAAAGACAAAGGTTTGCCCGTATAACCTTAACAGACTTTTGGGGGAAAGTGCTGTTAGCGAAGACCTATTTAGGCCGGCACTGCAGACGAAGAGGTGGGTGGCCAGCACCACACCACACACTCACACACCGACACGTGGACACGCGTTCGCACTTAACACACTCGCGTACACATCTTACAAACACTCACGCTCGTTCCTATCACATACGATTGTACATATACACACAAACACCCCCACGTACCTATCACGGACAAGGACAGACGAATACACAGACACACACGGACACGGGTTTCGTACGAACCACACACACACAAAGATCCCCCGTATAGCCCTTAACAGACTGCTCGGGCAAGTGCTGTTAGCGAACACACGCACACACACACACACACACGCGCGCTCACGTACTACAGGGCCCGCACGCCGCGCCTCTCATCTGTGCAGGCGCCCGCTGCGGAGAGAGGGGAGCGCGCCCTGGGGTCGAGCCGAGGGGCGGAGGCCTCCATTTAAATAGCGCAACGCTGCCGTCCCTATGTCCCGACGCCGCTTGCCAAGCGCCCACGTGAGAAGCGTGTGCGTGTGTCAGTGTGTACGCGCGTGTGTGTGTGTGTGTGTCAGTGTGTACGCGTGTGTGTGTCAGTGTGTAACGCAGTTCGGAGACTCGCGCGCGTCCCCGGTAGCGGTGCGCGCCCCTACACGGGACTCTGTCGGCACCGGGAAGCGATGGACGCACGGGGGCTCTCGTCCCTCCCCTCCGCGGCTTTACTCAACGCGCACTCCACCTACCGACTCACACACCCCCTCCCCTGCTTCACTATCCCCCCCCCCTCCTCCTCCTCCACCCGCCCCTACCACCACCACCTCCTTCTCAGCGCGCGCCCTCCCCACGATTTAGCCCATCATCACATTGCTCGCCACAACCACCCATCCACCCCCACCGCCACCACCAAACCACCAACACCCTGCGTCTATCTCACTCCCTCTCTCCTCTCGCTCCTTCAGCCGTGCCTCGCCTCCGGCGTCGGAACTCCTTCTCCCCCCCCCCCCCCCCCCCGATTTAAAAAATGCAAGGCATGAACACCCAAAAATGAGAGTTCATGTCAGAGCCACTCTGAGCTGCCTCTGCTGAAACGAACAAAAAAATGTCTCGCCAGCTCAGGATGATTCTTTACACACCCTACCACAACCCTCTCCAACAGCTCTCGTTTTCGGGATCATCATCATCATTCCTAACTCTCGAGGTGGCGGGGGTGGTGGAGGGGGGGGAGGGTCTGTGCTGGGACCTGTGACCTCGGTTCCCCGGTTTCTTGAAGTCGCCTCGGACCCGAGTAATACATCGCTGTACCTGGTCACCCGACGCGCGCTGGAAACACAAAGCGACATGAAACAACATCGGCGGCGGCGGCGAGATTCATTAGTGGGAGAGACGCGAACGCGGGGGCCTCTTCTGGCACAGGAGCCGGAATATCGCGACATTTCTCCCGCCAAGTGGATGGGTATGAATATAAAAGGCGAATGAAAAAAATGCGTCAGCAATTTTTTTTTTAATTTTGTACCGTGACGTTCAAATTTCATTTTTGTTTAAGACGCACGAGAAGAATATATATATTGTTTTAAGTAAGAAAAAATATCACTCTACAACGGTCGTGAAACTCAAGAAAGCAACCTTCATTATATGTCAAGAAATATTACTGTCAACCGTAAAACAAATAAGGCGCAGTTGGGTAATAATAATAATAACGTAATAATTCAAAGCATAGAGTTTGAGCGGTGCAGATGCGTTTATAATATCCTCTCCACCGCACCACGTTACCTCCACACTCCCACCGCACCACACTCCCACCACACTCCCACCGCACCACACTCCCTCCACACTCCCACCGCATCACACTCCCACAACACTCCCACCGCACCACACTACCACCGCACCACACTCCCACCGCACCGCACCACACTCCCACAACACCACACCTCCACCACACCACACTCCCACCGCACCACCCTCCCACCGCACCATACTTCCACCGCACCATACTCCCACCGCACCACGTTCCCGTTCGCACCACACCTCCACTGCACCACACTCCCGCCACACCACACTCCCACCGCACCACACTCCCACCGCACCACACTCCCACCGCACCACACTCCCACCACACCACACTCCCACCACACCACACCCCCACCGCACCACACTCCCACCGCACCACACTCCCACCGCACCACACTCCCACCGCACCACACTCCCACCGCACCACACTACCACCGCAGCATACTCCCACCACACCACACTTCCACCCCACCGCACCACACTCCCCCCGCACCACACTCCCACCACACCACACTCCCACCACACCACACTTCCACCGCACCACATTCCCTCCACACCACACTACCACCACACCACACTTCCACCCCACCGCACCACACTCCCCCCGCACTACACTCCCACCGCACCACACTCCCACCGCACCACACCACACTTCCACCTCACCGCACTCCCACCGCCCCACCTTCCCACCACACCACACTCCCACCGCACCACACTCCCACCGCACCGGCACGGCAAACGAGAGGGTGGGTGGCGAGCACCACGCCCGGCCGCCCTTGTCTCCCCAGTACTGATATTTCACACACCGCACCAGGTACTCATTTGAGGCTGAGCCGACCCAGGACCGGTTTAGTTCATTGTCACTGCTGTTGGCCGTGAGCGGGAATCGAACTCGGGTCGCCGGGTTCGTGGCGCAGCGTAGCGCCGACCGCTGCGCCACCGCTCACTCGCGCTCACACACAAAGACAAAGACTCCCCCCCCCTAAAGTCAAATCACCTGCTCGGGGGGTGGCAGGCGTCCGCAAGCAATATTACAAGGAAGATTATTTTTTGTTCGTTCCGAATTCCGTCAAAAGAAAAGAAGAAAAGGACTCCTCAATATTCACACGAGCCGCAATGCAACCGCGTGGAGAATACGAGACGGGTGCTGATTCCGGTGGCTCTTCAAGTGACTGCTGAAACCACACATGCAGACACATTTAGACAAACACACCCCCGTATAGTCCTCAAGACATATGGGTCAAGTGCAATTGACGAGCTCCTATTAGGGCTGACGCGGTACACGAGGGGGCGGTGAGGGGGGAGGCTGCACCACCGCCTTTGTCTCCCCAGTGGCGATGTTTACACAAGTACTTATTTGAGGCTGAGTCGACCTAGGGAAGGCCCAGGACCGGTTCAGATATACATCACTGGTGTTGGCCGTGAGCGGGAATCGAACCCGGGTCGCCGGGTTAATAGCGCAGCGTAGCGCTGACCGCTACACCACCGCTCCCCACGATATACACGCACACACATGAACAACACACACGCACACACACACACACGGACGCAGATCCTCCCCGCTCCCTCCCCCTGTATCCCGACCTGCCCAGCCACCTCCCCGGGATCGCTGTCTCTCTAAGCTGCTTAACCAGCACGTCGCTAAGACCATAAACTAGCTAAACCGAGCGCCACTAAGCCGCCGCTTTCCTTAAATTGTGCCGCCCCGTGCCCCTAAATCTCATCCCCTTCCAGCCCCCCACCCCACCCACCTCACCCACCCCTCCCTCTCCCACACCCATCCCACCCCGCCAAACCCGCTCGGCACAATCGCAATCGCTTTGTGATTGCGATTCGCTCCGTGGGCGTGGGGACTTTGAGATATTTTGGGAATAACGTTGTCCGTCGTCGTCGTCGGGAGGAGCCGTGGCGCGTGTGGTCGGCGCACTTGCGATATGAACACCGGGGGAACTCGAGTTCGATTCCCAGGGCCCCCCAGCGAACGGCTTCCTGGCCCTCCTCGCTGCCGATTCAGCGGCGATCGGCACTGACCAGCGTGGTGAAGTATGTCCGAGCAAACCCTCGTGATCAACACGGTGTGAGGAAGCCTTCGTTCGGCAGTGGATTGACAAAATTTTGTGTTGCTTTATTATTAGTCGCTATCATGATTCGTCGTCGTCGTCATCATCATCGTCATCGTCACCGTTCTCGCACGTACACGCGCGATGGACGAGTACACGTGTGTCCACTCCACACACGCGTGTCCACTCCACACACGCGTGTCCACTCCACACACGTGTGTCCACTCCACACGTGTGTCCACGCCACACACGTGTGTCCACTCCACACGCGTGTCCACTCCACAAGCGTGTCCACTCCACACACGCGTGTCCACTCTACACGTGTGTCCACTCCACACGTGTGTCCACCCCACACCGCGTGTCCACTCCACACACGCGTGTCCACTCCACACACGCGTGTCCACTCCACACACGTGTGTCCACTCCACACACGTGTGTCCACTCCACACACGCGTGTGTCCACTCTACACGTGTGTCCACTCCACACACGCGTGTCCACTCCACGCGTGCTCGTGTCCACAGCTGCGAGGTGTCCACGTGATGGCAGCACAGCAATGGACTATTAATCTCATCTGTGAGGAACTCGCAAGCGTGCTGGGTTTTATCCGGGCACATTCTCAACGCTCGCCAAATGGAATTGGGTCACACGTCCAATTGCAGCAGGACGCTCCTGCAAACGGCCTTGAGTCTCAATGAGGATTTCCCGGTTAAATGAAGGGCATTGTTGTTATTGTTTGATGATGTGTGTGGACACCAGTCGCAGACCATCTTACCAACTCAAGCCAATGAATGAAGCAGAAATAATTATCCTTTCTGCAAATAAAACGGGACTCATGTTAAGATTTTCAAACACCAATCAAGACGCCTTTTGCAAGGTTTCACGTCTGCATTACTTGTGGCAAAACATTGAAACACACATGCTCTAATAATAATAATAATGATATCTTAACGCCTCCTGGTTCGTTGCCAGAAAGGGTGAACCCTGCTCTTACAGTGTCATCATTTTGATACTTGGCCACGAAAAAATGTCCCAGAGATATTCAAGCCAATGAAATAGCTCATTAAATAGCCGGGGAGCAGTGCGGTACACGGCATTGCGTCTAACCTTACCATTTCCCTACATCCTGCGGAGTGTTCAATTCAACACACGGGCTCGGATATGGATGGATGTTGGCAAGGAAGGGATTCGGACGAATGCAGCCGCAAGGATGCGAGATGTGGGATGCGCGTACCAATCGCCACAGAAGAATCTCAAACCCCTCGTCAAGTGTGATCACGCGGACATCTCTCCGTGCCCGTTGTGACCGCGACCCCGATGATTGCCCCGCAGGCGAACGGGAGAGGCCTCCATGAGCGGGAGGGGAGCTCTAGGGTGTGCAGGCGGTGCAGCTGCGTTGCGGCAGCGGGGTTTGGGGTGGGGGGGGGGGCGATTCGTCCGAAACTGTGG